ACTTGCTCACCTAATTGATAAAAATATTTGAAAAAAGAGCTCATCTAAAATGACTATGTATTGGTCTACGAAAGGCTTATAACATTATTGTGGCAACAATCAAATAATTCGTTTTGATATACCATTTTTCAAGCTTTATGAACTCCTATTATTTGAAATGCATAGCATATTAATTTAAAACAACGCATTTAAGAATTTGTTAATGTAATGAGAGAAGGATTCTGATCTGAACTTCTTTCATTAAATTCAACGTTATAAATAAAGTTTTTTAATGATGATTTTTCACTAGAAAAATCTATGCTAAATAAGCATTTTGAATAATTGTTTATGAAATATTTATAGAGTTCAAACCAATAAAATTAACATGCATGATTATGAAAGTAATGAGATAATTAAAAGGTTTAAATATATTTTATTTGCATTACAAATTACAAAAGCTTGTTCAATAAATGCGTTTTACAATGTGATACAATGAAAGAATTTTTAGTTGGAAATAACTAATAAATTGGTCATTTGGACTTTTAATGATCATCAACGTTTTCTCTTATTGTAAGATCCATCGTTACCGTTCAACCATACTTTCTTTCCTCCATTGTATGAGATGGATGTAACAAACTTGATCTTATCTTTTTTCAATATACATGAATTTTTGTAGTATTTTTTTTATCTAACGCTTTCAAAAAAACATGCATAAATACAACAAGTCGAATTTTTTGACTGGCATATAAATATTTTAAGATCAGATCACTTTTGAAATAGATGATGTTCTATATACTTTCAAGCAGTATTTTAAAAAAACAGTTGATTTCATATGGAAACGATAATGCTGAAATTAGCTGACAGTGCATAGCCTATACATCTTATTTTATCTACTTGTGACAATTCCCGGGATCTTCCTCGTAGTTACTCAAGTGCATATAACTATGCGATAGAAAAAAATATACATACATTTGTACTGCACATTTTTGGTAAACATGTTAGAAAATTTCCGTTGTTGAAAAGAAGCAAATATATATGCTGTATATTGTCATGGAATTGTAGAGACTCATTCTCATCGTGTTCAGAAAGACTTTTGTATATACCAGATTTTCATATTGACGAAAAGAAAGCTTTGTGTTTTTTCAAAATTCACTTTGCAGCAAAAAATAATCTAAACACATTAAGAGAGACAAGATGCCATACAATACATAAAACTCAACTGTTGGTATAATGCAATTTGAAGAGAAACTTTTGCTTTAACCATAAATTATTTCAGCAAAAGTCTTTTCCTGTATGATGTGACTCGAAGGTCAATTTTTAATAACATTTAAAGAAAATGAATAACAATAGTAATTAACCCTTGTAGTACCGGCCTCCTTTAAGCACTATACTGATAATATATGTTTTCATAAAATATTTTTTTTTACTTTTTGGATCAGTCTCTTGATAAAATATGCTATTTTCATATTTGACCTGATAGAAAAATTATGAAAATGATATTCTTTATTTAGAACAAGTAATACAAAAAATACGTTTAACAGAATGCTCATTACAAACAAATGCAGAACAATTACAACATTGAGTTGATATTTTCTTGTCCACAGAACGTTCACAAATCGAACACCGCTTTCGTTTTGATTGAGTAGAATTTTCATTTGGCTCTGATAGATTGTTTTTCGTCACAGGATAACCGATAATAGCCAATGCATTTTGAATATCTGTGTTCAAAAAGTTTGAGTTTTTTGAGCGAAAATCTAACAGATACGATACTAAAGCTAGTCCTAATTCTTCCAGGAATAATCGACGTTGATATTTTTTATTTTGATTCCATTGAGGATTTTTTGCCTTCCAGACGATCAATGCATTTATAGCAGCAATGTCTATCATCCCATAAAAGATACATAGTGGCCATCGCCTTGTACCTCTTTTTACCTGCAAAAAAATAAAATGCAGAAATATTTAAAAAAAATCTCTTTTTACCGTATACTTATGACACATTTGATCAACAGTATCAACAGCTCCCTTTGTTTTGTTATAATGCAAAATAACAATTGGTTTTCCAAATTTATTGTCCACCTGACTATCGTGATGTTTCGAGGAAAGCAATAAAACAGCTTTATTCTGTTTGGGTACAAATTAAACTAAAGTTAAATCATCTTGAAAACCAAAAAGCGAGGAACCAACTTCGCGGTTTTTATTTGACTGAAATTCGATAGGTATTTGTGGTTTATTTTTTCGCAGTGTTCCTACAAGAGTCAGATTTTTTGTTTGAAGTTCTTTGGCTAATGGAACACTTGTAAAGAAATTATCAATTGTAACATTTCTGCTTGAACCATAAAGTGGTTTGAGCAATTCCAAAACTACTTTGGCACCTATCAGAGTTTGTCTTTGTTCATTTGGCTGTCGTCCAATGTAAGGAGATGCATTGAATACGTAATGTGAATCTGCATCAACACATAACCAAAGTTTTAATCCATATTTACCAGGTTTTTTTGGCATAAACTGACGAAAAGGACATTTTCCTCGAAAGCCCAATAGCTGTTCATCGATGGTAACATTAGATCCTGATGTATAGAATGTTTGTAAATTATCTTGGAAATATGACCAGATTTCACGAATTGCTGCAAATTTATCTGTTCTTTTTCTTTCTTCTCTTGTTGTTTTATCATCGGATCGTAAATAAGAAATAATATTTTGAAAACGACTTCTTGACATAGTAGCTTTGAATATTGGAGATTCTAATGGACTTCTTCTCCATAAACATTTTAGATCTGTCTTCGATTTTCCTAGTAAACCAGCAAGTAATAAAAGTCCAATAAAAGCTTTTAATTCCATCATTGTTATTTCTTCTATTTTTTCATTAGGAGCAATGTTTTGAGTATATTCCAAGTTTGAATAAATCAAAATTTTCTGCAATATTTTTTCTGACAAAACAAATAAATGCATCTTCGATAGATGAAATATCTTGAGCAATTTCCGTAAGTCCAGCTTTTTCAACAGTATCATTTGAATAATTCGTTTTCGTTGGACGATGAGGAATCGAAGACCAAGTCATGCCAGAGCTGGAACTATATAACTTTTCCGCGTGGAATCATCATTTAATTTAAGATTTTCTAAACTAATTTCGTCATCATCATCTGATGTTTGACTTTCACCGTCTTGCATTTCCGAATCACTGTTTTGATCGTCGAAATAGTCGCTATCACTTTCATCTTCAATCAAACTGTCCATAATCGTTGTTATAATATTGTGCACAGTTGGATACAAATTATATGAGAAAAAAATTTCAATCTAGAAAAGAAAGACAGGTCATACATTTGATCTACAACGATATAAATCATCTACTATGGTGATTGGAGAGCTCGAAACCAGTGAAAAAATGTTTTTTAATGGATTGAAAATATATATCCATTTAGATTAGTGAATGAGTCATTGGATTATGCATTGAAAGTTTTATTTTTTCTCCGTTCTTATTATATATTTAATGTATACTGAAGACATGGTCTTATACCAAAGGGTCGTAATGATATAGAAAACAAACGTATTCCCTTTTAGATTCAACAAGGTGTATCTATTCTTAAGAGATATTAATTGATTCTAAAAACTGAGAAACAAAACAATATTTCTAGCATATTTTTAAATTTTTCAGGTTGGGGTCCAAAAAGACCCCGGGCGGTACTACAAGGGTTAATATTGTTTTTACAAAAAAAATATTTTATTCGATTTCTCATAATTGAAAATGGTTTTTGTCATATTTGTTTATTAATTAAAACCACATTGTCAGTCCACAGTGTTCGTTGTCAACTGAATAATAAGGCTGTTTGTCAAGACACAATGAAAGAATACAATGACATAATTGTGTAATGAATTTTGCATGATCATTAAATATAGTTTCGAATTCACTACCATCTGACATATCGAATTTATACCGAAAGTAGAAACCAAAATCGCTAAATAATGTTGCTGCTTTTGCGATCGTTTGGCAATTTCTATCATCGATAGTTTTTGGTAAATCATACATAAATATACGTAACGAAGTCAATTCTGACAACTTTGAAAGTGAATCGAACATTACTGGCCAATTTGGTAACATATAATTAGGATGAGTATAAAACAGAAGAATACGAATAGAACGAATAGTTATGGGAAGTAAAGAACAATCGTTCAGACAATTGATACTATTCGCGAGAGTTATATTGCGAAGAGTAGATAGAAAATTTATGGGAATAGGTGTATTATAATAGGATAAGTTCAATGTTTCAATACAATCAGATAATACCACATGCGGTAACGAGCATATAGGTAATGGCCACATTTGACTTGATGCATCGAATGTACGAAGAGATGATTGACCAATTGTTGTCACTTTTTCAGGTTTTTCAAACACATGTACTTTAATAATCCATTTCTCAGGCAGATATTCATAAAAGAATTCATCAAATCCCCACGGCAGAGTATACCACATATGGTGATGATATTGGCTTCCACGATTCTATAAATATAAAGAATATATTAACATATAACTATATCAGAGTTAGATTATGGCGAGAAAAAGAACAAAGATTTCCTTTTTCTTTGTATTTTATCTTGAAGTAAAATTCGAACAAAAATATAATTGAGTAACAACTTACAAAAGGGTCATCACCAGTGAGCCATTCTAATCTGTTAGACACATGTTTAACAAGAAATGTTACACTAACAATTTCTCTTGGATGAAAACGATTACCACGTGGAATATATTGTGTCACATTGATATATTGAGGACAGTTGATAAGATTAATACCAAAATGAACATCGACATGACGATAATCAGTAAAAAGCGGTGATGAACCTATACGATTTAAGTCACTAATATCAATAAAAATGGACACATTAGCACGTCGTAGAATAGGCATAACATTCGAAGATGTCAACATTTCGAAAATTGTCCATTCAATTGTTAACGTTGAGAAAAATGTTTGAACAAAACTAAATGTATGTAAACTATTCATTCGAATCGACAGATTAGAGATTGATACAGGGGAACGACTGTGACCTATTTTAACATGTAATTGACGCAATGTGTCAGAGAGTGGTGTTGTCGATATAAGACGAAGTAAAGTGTCCATGCATGGCAAATCAAGACGCAGATAGGTAAGTGGAGTTACTGCAGTATTAATAGGCCAATTTGTT